TTGCACTGGGCTCTGAGCCAGCCCCAGAACGTAGGCAACAGGTTTCCCCAGCCAATATGAATATTCTTTCAAGGGATAAACTAGAGTAATGGTTGGAGGCACACATCTTATAGCTAGTCCCTCCTTCACTAATCCCTTCCACACTTGCACTATTATCCCAGGGACCTGTAGCTACATGTTCTTAGGGTAGCCTGAATTCTCAGTTGCTCTAGAGATCACCTGGACAGCAGGCATTCCTTGAGTCCTTTCTAGGATCTGTAGTAAATGGCGTGGCATCATTCTTTAACCTCTTATGCTCTCATCACTCTCCTAACCCTGACTGGTAAACATCATTCTCATTTGTCCCCAGACATCTCCCTGCCTGTCATTTGCATGCTCTTTCAAGTGGGAGCAGGACTCATTCACCTGTGCTATCTTGATGGAGTCTGTTCAGGAAAAGGGCAGGCAGAGTTTTCCCATAAGCTGAATGGACCCATGTTTAGGGCCCAGAGCTGTGAGCGCTCAGGCTCCATGAGCCACTGATTAGGGCCGAGTGGTGAGGCTCTGAGACTCCCAAGGCTTCAACAGAAAAAGACCTCTCATCCTATAGAAGTACCACATCTTACAGCTGCTCAAAAAAAGAGCTGAAAACCCACAGCCAGAGACAAGTTCCCACCTTTACTGCACATAGTCCCAAGTGCTATTTGGTCTGCAGACATTGGGTAATACAAGGGGGGTGTTTGGCACTTGGGACCGGAAGGGACCCAAGTGGGGAATGGGAACCATTTGGCATGTGGGCTGGGCTAAAGGGCTCTTCCTCAAAAGATACTCAAGCTTAAGTTTGGAGGAGACCTCCAGGCCAGCTCACTGAGGCTCACCAGCTGAGGCTCAGCACACCACAGCCTCCTGCCTGTCCTGTAGGCTGCAGAGCACCCTCCCTCCCTCTTTAGCCAAAACTGATACTGACTCTGCTGGGCTTCTACAGGGACACAGTCACCAGGCTGCCCTTTTGCCCTCTGAGAGCTCACAGTCAGCAACAATGCACATATATGATCAAGGCCAGAGGTCCTGGGAGTGGTATGGAGGTGAGGGGTCTGGGAAGCAGAGGACATGCAGTTAGACCTGGTTTTGTGAGAACGGGGCAGGGAGTGAACCTGGAAAGAAGGACTGGTTCTGGAACCTTGGGGAGGGCAGTACAGAGGGAGCTGCTGGGGCAAAACGCCGGCACTGAGACCCCTCCACCTGTTTGCCATCCCTCCAGAGCCTGTCATCAAGTTGCTGAGAGCCCAGCTTATCCGTACACACTTCCCAGAAGGAAACAGATGCCACAGTACATTCGAATTGGAGATGTCACCGTCTGAGAAAGAGAAGCTAGGGTCACAGATGGCCAACAGCCATCTGCTCCTTGTCACCTTCCCGTGGAGCTACTGGGAGCCTTCCCCAGGACCATCTCCCCAAGTTCTCCACCTGCCCAGACTGCAGTAGAGCTGAGCACAGCAGGAAAGCCGTGTTAGTACAGCCAGTGCATGGTTGCGCAGTACCACAGCCTGTCACACCGCACAAAGTACATGAAGACACTATGACGCTAGGAGGTGGCTCAGCCCAGGACAGACCCACTTCACCTCTCAGCAAATCTGAGGTGGGTAGGGTGGCCAGGCACCTCCAATGCTTCCTCCTGCAAGGCTGGGCCCACTCAGCCAGGCTGCTCACAGACCCAGGACCAGGCAGGGCAGGAAAGCGTGGTACAGGTGTGCCTGGTGGACGCTCTTGAGCACTAACTGACGTAACACATCACACTCACGCTAGAAAGAGCTAGCACTTTTTATTAACGGTAGGTGACTAATAAATACATTACGGCAGCCAATAAATTATTACAATAACTACAGATTTATTAAACTAACAAGTCACTCTTCTTACAAAATTACAGTTAATAGGGGGTGGGTGGTGGCGGGTTGGGAGGTGGGACCACTGCACCTAAGAAAGCTCTGCTAAGGAGCATGTGGGGCTGGCCCCTCCTGCTTGGGATGGGAGAGAGCAGGAGGCCAAGGCTGCAGGTGCAGCCAGGGGGACAGACAGGTCAGAAGCAGAAGGGCAGAAAGGCTGCTGCCCAAGCTGGCAGAGCAGACATGACTGGTGGAGGATGGTGGGGCAAAGGGGGAACAGGAAGGGTGCGGGTCTATGCTGGTTGTCTTTTGAGCACTGTTCCCAGGGAGGAGAGCTGTCCTTCAGAGGGTGCCCCTCTCTGAGAGGGTCCAAGACTTTGGATTGGGGGCCATTCTTTCTGATTTTGCTCCAGCCTACACTTCCTTGATGGCCTCCATCTGGCTAGGATGGGTCTATGTGGAGGCTCCCACTCCACGATGGGCAAGGTGGGTTTTGGACTTTCCTTGCTAAGGGGTGAGGTGCCACAGATCCCAAGGCAGCAGCTTACACCCTGGCCCAATTCCTTGGGCTGCTGAGGCCCTTCATTCTGCAGCCTGTGGTCTGACATGGAGCTGTCTGGGGCTGGGAATGCTTCCCTTCAGCATCTTAGATTGAATCTCTGCTGAGCATGGAGCTGGAGCATCAGGGTCTCCATTTCTGAGAGCTGCCATTTTTGTGCCTGGAGGCTTTCAAAAGGCTCAGAGAAGAGCAGAGGCCATCAGAAGAGGCTCTGTGCCCCAGCCTTCTCAAAAGGGAGTAGGCAGGCTGTTCTCAGGTGGGAGGGAAAAACCTGAGAGCTCCTTTAGTCATCTTCCTAGGCACGGGAATTCCTTGCCAAGAAGGTGAAAGAGTACACAAGGTCAGATGGAGAAAGGTGGAGGGTGGGTAGAAAGGACCAGGCTGAAGGTAAGAAAGAGCTTCCAGAGACTACCCCTGGGGGTACTGGCTATGGCACATGAGCTAATCTGCTATAGGACTCCCACTGCAGAAAGAAAGGGCTGGGGAGGAGTTCAAGCTGCTGCCTGCCCCTGGGGACACTCAGTAATACCCAGTACAGTCCATGCAGGGCTTGGGTGCCCCAGTTCCTACCAGTGGAGTGCTGGCTTGGGTTGGGAAGCAGAGGTGGTGGCTGTTTTCTGCCTGGGCTCTGTTCTGCTGGCAGGGAGAGAGAGGCACACGGCACCAGGTTCTAGGGTCTCCATTGAAGGTAGTCATGGGATGCAGAAGCCACACCCTCCTCAAGACAGAGTCCAATAGAGACTGTCCTCAGGTACACTTCGGTCCCCTAGTCAGAGGCCAGAAGGAAGGTGGAGACTTAGATTTTAGGATATCAGTGAATCTACCCTTCCTAGAAACCAGTTTCTCCCTATTCTGCTATGAGAGCCAGTCAGAGTTTAGTATGGCCCCCTTGGAGACAGAGCCACTGGCTAACATACACACCCTTGTCTAGTCACTCACGCGTCTCCTCATACCCATATCCACGACGGAGCCAAAATTCATTTGTCACCCTTAGCTGTCCACCCCCCTCCCCCGCCATATGGTGCAGCAGCCAATGACAACATGGATGAGACAATTTTCTCTGGAGAACCCCTCACTGAGGGCTCACACTAGAGAGCCAAGGACCCCCTCCCCCTTGGCAGGACAGAGCAAAGCAAGACACCAAGTAAGACAGAGAAGGCAGCCCTGGAAATGGGAGGGCAGGAAGGCCCAAAGCACCTGAATGTGGAGGGGAAGGGATGGTCTGGGTCCTGACTCCAGCATGGAGCTCTGGTACTGTGCTACAGTGTGATTTGAGGGGCAGAAGGAGGAGTGGAGAGCCCTGGGGTGAGAGGAACAGTGTCTTCTGCCTCTAGGGACGATGGCCTTAGAGATAAGGTTTGGCTAATATCACCCTCTAGCCAGGTGATTTTGCCTCTGGGGTCACAGTCTGGAGCAGAGCTAGGGGCAAAACTAAATGGACTCAGGGTGGTGATGATGGGAACAAATGCCTTAATGTTGGGTCAAATGGCTTAACTGGCCTTAGTTACCCACAGCAGGACATTGAGCTCCAAGGGCCTGTCCTCTACCATATCCCAGACCTGGTACAAGTTTCAAAAAATGCTGGCGGTGAACAAAACTGAAGGGGACTTGGGCTGATGGAGTGGCAGCCAAGCCAAACAAGGAAGGGCTTCTTCTCAGGCGCTGTTCCTGCAGGCATTTGGCACTAGAGAAGGTACCTGGGTGTTCCAGCACCACCCAGAGCTCTGTGCCTGTTGAAACCAACAAGCCAGAGCTGTTGGCACAAGGCTCTTCTTGTTCCTGAGCAGGCCAAAGGGGTTGCATTGGAGAGGCCAGGGGTCTTGCCCAGACCAGGACTGAGCTGTGTTCAGAGTGTAAGCTGGGAGAACACAAGGCTTAAGGAAGGAGGCAGAAGATCCTCCAGCAGCAGCCTCTCCCCTAAGCACACCTGGGTCCCCAGGTACAGCCTGACACATGAGTCACAGGCATGCCTGAGCTGCTGGCTGTGGCACCAGCCAACTGGAGATGGCTGGGAATAAAAGGGATGGGTGGTGACTGTCCAAGGCCAGCTGGGGCCAAGATCACCAGAAGCTATCCCACCTCTTTCTGCTTGAGACCTCTGCAGCAAAGCCCCATACCAGGGGTAAGAGGACTCTCTCTAAGGGGTGATATATGCCAGAGCTGGCTGAGTCCCTCAGAGCTCACACTCTAGGGCACTGGCCCCTCTACCAACCCTCCTTTGCCTGGGAGGCTGGGAGGACACCAAGTGCTAACTTCTTGACCAAGATGAAATGAAGTGAGGCACTGGCCACAGAGCCTGGCCCTCACCTTCCCTGGGCCTTCACTTGCAGAAACCTCAGCCCCAACTCTACCTGGCCTGGCTGGCTTAAGTTAAGACTCACTGCAACTTGGAAAAGGAAAAGCATATCCACTCACACCTGGAACAACACTTGGTGAGTGGACCCAGCAGGATAGGTCTGCAAGGATGGGGTGGAGGCCCCAGCCCAGGCAATGAAGAGCGGCCTCCTTTGGCTCCCTCCCACTGCCTTCCTCCTCCCCTAACTTCTTCAGGCACAGGGCCCAGTGCTCCCACTGCCCACCTTCACAGCCAACCAGTTTCAGGAGCATTTCCAGGCCTACGGGGAATCAGGGCTGGGGTTCCTGTGAACAGCAACAGACAAGAGAGGATGGCCAAAGAAGGGGGGCTGAGATCCAGTGCCTGAACCCTCTCAACTCACAAAGTTGGCCTATTTTTTGGTGACGGAACTGCCCTTGACCACAGAGACTGCAGGCAAAGCTGAGAGACGGCTTCTACTGTTCCAAGCCACCAGCACCCTGTCGCAGGGCCTTTTGCCACCTATATACCCTAGATGATAGAAAGAGACCCCAGGACTTTGAGTATGAGTCACAGAGGGCATGACATGCCCATTCTGGACCAAATGGAGACTGTGCCACTCTGGTACCCACCCCCCACTGTTGACTACAACACTTAGAAATGAAGCAGAGGCCAGTGAGTGGCAGGTTGTCTCCTGCCTTGTGGTGCTTGGTGCTCAGCACCCCCACTTGGCCCCTGTTACCACATGTCCTGCTTTTGGAGGAGTGGAGGTATAGGTGTGTACAGGATGCTCCCCCCACCCCCCTCAACCCGGTTCCCCAGGGCCAGCTCTAGGCTCTTCTTCAGTGCACAGAGTGGTCTGAGAAGTGGCAGAGCTCTGCTTCCAGAGGAGGAATGGGCAGTGGGCTGAGTAGGGCATGGGCTGATGAGCGGGGGCTGGGGCTCAGTAGAGTCCACAGCCCCGCAGGTTTTTGGCGATGATGACGTCTGTCACAGCGTCAAAGACAAACTCGATGTTGTTGGTGTCCGTGGCACAGGTAACGTGAGTATAGATCTCCTTGTGGGCTGACTTGTTCTTGCTCTCATACTGTGCCTGGATGTAAGCCACGGCTTCCGTGAAGGCACTGGGGCCTGTGGGAGAAAACAGCAGGGGTAGGTAAGGTGAGGTGCCCCTGTGGTCACCTGGTGTGGACAGCCTGGGTCTGGCTGATATGTCCATCAGACTGGGAGCCCTGGAGCAGAGGCCCAGGGCCTTCTGGATGACCATGAAGGAATAAGAGGATGGGGTAAGGCGTCTGAGGACTCAGTTATACCAGCAGTGGGTCATGCTACCCAGCCAGTGGTCCAAATCCAGTGCAGACCTTATGAAAGAAACAAATAAAGCACCAGATCTCCCAGTGATCACCCGTACTATGGGTCAGCACTGTTCCATGACATTTCTGTTCTCCTTACAGATGTGCCTACTGACTCTGGATGCAAACTTTACCACAGACCCTGTGCAAAGAGGGTTGGAATGATGCTGTTACATAGGTGCTCTTTCTGTTTGTTAGCCTGCCTGGTCACTGCCAAGAGGACCAGTTTGTGGTCTCGTTGGCATCTGTGCCAAACAGAGGCCATCTTGTCCTCTTTCCCCCTTTTCTGGCCCCTTCCCTCTTTGGGTACTCACTTCTCAGGGGGATTAAAAACTGTTGGCTCACTCACTATCTTTCTTAGGGATATCACTTTGATCTGGTTCCCAGGTGAGCCCAGGAAAGGGGTGTCTAGGTGAGAAGCTGTTGGGTTGGAGGCACCTGGTTTTGTACTGAAACTCACATATCCTGGGCCACCTAGCACGGGCCAGGCTGCAAACACTCACTAAGGGAAGGACAAGGAAGGCAACCAGAAGTTGAGGCATGGGACTCAGCTGGGTGGTATACCTGGGGAAGGAGCCCCAGCCAGCTAGTCTCAAGGGTTTCCCAGACCACAGCTCTGTGGTAAATCTGGGCTGTAGATGAGGGGAGTGTCCCTGGGACAGCAAGAGACTCTCAGACTTCCTCAGTTAAAGGGGGTCCCTTCCTGGCTCACCCCAGCTCCAAACTGGTCTTAGTGACTAGTCCACCAGGGCAGAATCCACAGGCCCCCAGTTTATGGCTGGAGAAGCTGGGATGGCTTCTCCAGTATGAGGGAGGCTGAGCCCTGCCCACCTCTGGTTGGATGCTCCTGGGGTCCTGGATTTTTGAGAAACAATGATGGGAAGGGGCAGGAGGCAGACAGCTGGGCTACTTGCCTGACCGCAGGCCACAGGCCCACTGACCACAGTCCTGGGGCTCTGCTGCCCCCACTGTACCTTCTAGACCCCACGCTGGCCAAGCTGATGGTGACCCTCTTCCTCATCCCACTCACCTCTCTGACCAGGGCCTGGCCATCTGAGAAGATCTGCTGAGCACTGGGCTATGCTGGGGCCTGATACAATCCTGCTGCCACCTGACTGGAGGCTGCCAACCTCTCCACTACCTAGGAGCCCTGGTTAGGCTGCCTTTTTGCTGTCTACCTGCCTAGAGTCAGCTAAGTCCCTTGTAACACTGACAGCTGGCCTTTTGTCCCCCAAACCTTCCATGGGGTGGCCAGGACCCTGCTGCTTGCAAGGCTCTGTCATATTTAATTGGCCATGAGAGTCTTGTAGTCATCTGTGTGGGAAGTGCTGTTAGGATGCTGTTTGTCAGCATCATGATGCTATCAGTAAGAGTACACTTAAAGGGAGTACAACTTCCAGGCAACCAGTGCCAGGTGTCATGCTATGCTCTGTGGAATAATTAACTCCTTTTATCCTCAAGGAACTCTGTGAAGAAGGCAGAACAATCACAGGGACCATCCTCATCTCACACATAAGGAAACTGAGACTCAGCAAGGTCACATGACCTACCCGGGTTGCACTCCAGCTCCTGGGCTGTCTGACTCCATGCCCCCCTCATCATCTTGGTGTTGTCCCACTGTGCACAACACCTGCATTTACAGATGAAGGGCTTGGGCTCCCCAAGGTTATTGACATCCCATGACAATAAGTAGCAAGCCAGGACTCCAGCCCCCAAGCTGCCTGAAGAGCTTCACTACGGTACACTCTGGAGCAGGGTGTCTGGGGCTGAGTCTTCTGGGGTGAGTTTGGGGCAGCTGTACAGCACCGTGAAGGTGGACAGGCCTATTCCTTTGACAGCTATTATAGCCAGAAGGGGCATGCAGGCCTAGGGAGGGGTCTTTACCTGTGTATTCTGGAAAGCAGATGGTCAGTGGGGACTTCTTGATCTTCTCTTCAAATATGTCCTTCTTGTTGAGAAACAGGATGACGGATGTGTCTGTGAACCACTTGTTGTTGCAGATGCTGTCAAAAAGCTTCAGTGATTCATGCATGCGGTTCTACAACAGAACAGAGAGGCGGGTGAGGGCTGGCACTCTCAGGGCCCTGACCCACCACGGCCATGACATAGCAGGACAAGCAGAGGGAAGGTCCACCAACGTGCTGAATGCACCACCAGGATGGAGATGGGAGGGCCCACAAGGACAAACAGGGCGTGTCCCTGCTTCATTCGTACACAGGCAGGGTGGGGCAGAGCAGGGGTGGGTGGGTGGGGATGCTGCCCCCTTTCAGAGGGTGCTGGCCCAGGTGGGCAGTGAGGTCACTGGAAAGGCTCCAGCTCCTGGAGAGGACATGCACCATGCATGTAGAGCAGGGCCGCAACCACCATCGAACACGACTACATGGAACCGCAGGTCATGCAGACTTCTCTACCAGGATCTCATTCGCTTTTGCCAGCAAGGCTGGGAGGGTGCGCACATTCAGTTGGGTCACATTAACCGAGGACTGAGAGATCCTCGAATTAATCCAGAGTTGGAAGCAGACACCAGGGGGGACAGCATCTTGGGGGTGATGTTGCTGTGGCCTTGTTGGTTGGGTGACTTAGGTGACTGGCTAAGCCATATTTAGGGTTGGGAAGAACTGGTGGTTGGGGCTGATTTCTTAGGAGAGGGGCCAGAAGACCCAAGAAGAAACAGCAAAACAGACTAAAACCAAGAGGAAGATAAAACAAAACAAAAACAAAAACCCCTCCAAAACAATCTCTCCTCTGAAAAAGAAAAAGGAAAAAATCCAGCAGCAAACATGAGAGAAAGAGAAAAAACCCTGAAAAATTGGTTCATTAAGTTTTGGAGCAGGCCAGCTGTGCTGAGCCCCTGTGCAAGCTCATGGAAGCCAGCTGTCCTGGTTTAGGGACTGTGTGGCTGGGATGGAAGACTGGGGTGGGTTGGGGAACGAACCTCAGCCGAGCGACTGGTGAGGAGTGTGGATGTGGATAAGAGAGTGGGCTTGGATAGGCATTCACAGCAAAGTCACCCAGCAGTGCCCTGAGAACCTGCTGCTTTCAACTCTTAGTGATGGCTTTGATTGGAGGGAGAAGCTTCATACCTGCCGGGCTTGGAGGGTCTCTCAGAATCTGCTCATGGTTTTGGCCTTGGTTTGGCAAGATAAGGCCCTGCAGGCGATGGTGGCGGTAGTGAAGTTGTGGCAGCCTGTGGCCCGGCTGGGTGGTGCTGAGAGCAGGTACGAGGACAGGATGAGCCCTTGGGATCCCTGAGTGCAGCGGGCAGGGTGGCTGGTCCAGTGGCTGGAAGCCACTAACCCAAGGACCCTTCTGGCCTAGCTCCAGGAGCTGCCACCAGACACCTTCATCTCAGGCAGCCCTAACACTCATCCCAGGCTAAGAAGGGAAGTGCAGAGCTGACCAGAGAGGAAGACTGAGGACAATAGACTGGGCAACAGGTGCTTATATCTTGCCTCTCAGGCAGAGCAACCACATTCTACAATCTGGCCTCTAGCCATGGTAGCTTCACTGAGTGACAATTCCTGTGTGCAGATACTCTACAGGTCTTAGACCAGTGGTCCTCACTGTTGCCCACTAGGCCACTGGGTCTACCATCATCACCATGCACAACAGATGCCTGGGGACGGCGGTAGCTAATCACACAGCTGGCAGGGGCGGTGTAGACCCTGTACAAGATCCAAGCTGCCCAACTCTGCACACACATGCCCCAGATACACCAACGACTGCTTGGTTCTATAGCAACAGTATTGCTTTGCTGCCACTGTGTCAATGCTGTGGAGTGCTGTTAGGTTGTACAGCTGATCCCTGCTTCCTGGAGGGCTGCTGCTCTGCCCTGGGCTATGTAGGTTGCCAGCCTTGGGGAGGGAAAGACCCCAGAAAGAGCCCATTCCTGACCTTGGCCATATGCTTTTTTTTTTCCTGAGGTCCTCTGCTCCAGCTCTTGTGGAGAAGGGCAAGGGAAACGAGGAAGGAGCAGGGAGGGGACTGAAGAGATGAGAGAGAAGAAATAGGCCAGGAAGGAATAGGACACTAGAGGGAGATGCTTCAAGACCTGGGCCCTGCTCAGCAGCATGGACCATTGAGGGCTGGCCTGGCTCCATACTTAGCCCCCACATTCCCTCCTCACAGACCTGAGACCCTGGATCTTGATGTCTCTGGCTACCAGTCCACCGAGACATCCCTTTGCATCACTGTGCTCCAGAAGTTTGGAAGAGCCCAGATCCATGGCTGATGAGTCTAAGCCCTGGATTGTCTGTAGACCTGGCAGGGTAGGTCTAAGGGAGAGTCCATGTTTCAGCGAGAAGGGCCCTCCCAACCTCTAGCTTCCAGCTTTTTCATTCTCTTTGAAGCCCATGGCTAGATGCAGCATACATTCCCAGCTATGGCCAGTAGAAAGGATGAGACAAGCCAATCTTAGATCATGGAGTGTCCAAGGGGACAGTGAATAGTGGCTCTAATAGCATGGAATCAACAGGGGCAGTCACTCTAAGGGACACATTGCCTGGAGGCTATCTTGGGCTTTGTGTAGTCACTGAGTCTAGGTCCAAATGTGGTCCAGGGTGTTCTGCCCATGCCCCACCCTCAGGGTCAGGGCTACACTGTGCTTCTTTAACACCACTGCCTGATGAAGCCACTAAGAATGACAACAGATGAAACTCATCCCACAGCAAGCCAGCATGTGTGCAGGTTACCCAGTCGGCGGCCTCAGTCCCCCTGTTTAAGCCCCTTGGGGTGGCGGCTCCTTTCCCCATAGCACTGCCCCTCATAGCCCACACCACAAAGTTTATCCCATCCCCACAGCAGCTTTGTGGGACCGACGGGGCCGGGACTGATGAGGAAATAGAAGTCAGAGGGAAGGCAGGCCTTCCTCAAGGCTAGCAAGACCATGACAGCAAAACCCCTCAGATCCTCAGTGCTGACTCCAAAGATTCAAGGGTGAAGGGCCCGAGTGTGCTCCAGATGGGAGGGGAGATACCACGGTGTGAGACCACGGTCATAAGCCTACTCTCAGGAATAGGGCTTATCTCCTGTGGCCCTGTGGGCCATGCTTGAGGCCTGGGTTCCTTTGTAGACTCTGGACAGGCTTATGGCCCTATGGGCTGCAGCCCTGATGAGAACAGCTCAATGGATCACCAGTGACGATACAACTTCCAGGTTGACACTACTGTGCCAGAAATGGTTACAAGTGCTGCACATGGATTATCTCCTTCCATTGCCAATAACCTCGACAAGGCAGGCACTATTAAGTTTCCCCCTTTTAAAGGTTATAGTAACCGCAGCAGAAAGGGTGCTGCCTAAATTCAGCAGCAAACCAATCAGCAGCAGAGCCAAGACAAGACCCAGGGGAAAGTCACACCCTCTCTGGGTGACTGTCCTCCCGTGAAGTCAGGGGGCAGTTCTCAGAGGCCAAAGCTAGAGATCCCAGACTGAGTATAATTCATAGACGGAAGGTGGGGGCCTGGTCTGGCATCCCACACAGACGGAGCCCAGAATCACACCTGTCACTCAGTAGCACACCTCTTCCCTACTGCCCTTCCCAGCCCACCAGCCCCACATGTGTCTTTGCAGCAACGCTGGCTATCTCTGTGGGAAGGGCTGTTAAGGCAAAGATCATTATTTCTGTTGTACTCTTACTCTTACTTGACTGCACCCTGAGTTTTTAGGATTTGCTCCTGGCCTGGAGGCCCGTGGCTCCCTTTGCTGCACTGGCATCACAGGTAAGAGTGTGCCTGGCATGGAGCCCATAATGCAACCTCAGCCACTACAGCTGGCTGGATCCCAGACCACTGTGGACAGCCAAGGCCCAAGTGTTCCCAGGACTGGTTTGTTCTGTGGCCAGCTCCCCGACTGTCACCTCAGGTTGGCAGCCAGCCTCTTTGTTTTGTCCTCTGCCCAGTGGGTTCAGGGCCACTCACCGTGGTTTCATCTTCGTGGAGCACCTGGTCATAGCCGCTAAGCGCGACGCAGAAGATGATGGCCGTGACGTCCTCGAAGCAGTGGATCCACTTCTTGCGCTCAGATCGCTGGCCCCCGACGTCGAACAGCCTGCAGGGAAGATAGTGAAGCTGGTGTGGGCAAGGTCTAGGCAGGTTGGGGTATGCCTGGTAGTCCAGTTGCAGGTGTGCTCATAGGGGTGGGGGCTCAGTGCCATCACTCCAGGTGCTGACGGACTGATTGATGGACAGACCACTGCCATTCTTGAGGCTGAGGAGCCTGTCCCAGGACTATGCTGTGCTCACATGTAGGACTCAAAGACCTGCTCTTGCATCTGAAGAACTGTACTGAAGAGAAGGCCCCAACTGGTCCCCAAGAAATGCTTTTGTAAGATCCTCAAAGTAACATTCACAGTCTGTTCCTATCTGAGCATGAGCTCTGGGCAAACTTCAAACCAGCCCAGGAAGGAGGCAGGAAAGAATTTTCACCTGTTTTGTGGGTGGGAAAAGCAAGGCAATAAGGTTGCTAACATGTAACCCAGCTAACTTTTTGCTAACAAGTCCAGCTGTGGTGGACCTGGGATCTGACCCCAGGCTGTCTACAGACAAAGCTCAGGCTTCCTTCCATGTTCTGCACCACCCTTCACTGGTAGATTGGTCCTGGACCTCTCCCTGTCAGACTCTAGCCATAGGAGCCCAAGGGCAGGGGAAGAAATTGTGGGCAAATGGGTCACCAGTCCTGGAATGACAATGCCCTACAGACGTCTGGACCTGACAGGCTTCTTGGCACATAGCTATAGAGTAGGAGGGCCTGGTCCTGCATGGACAGGAGTCCTGTCTCTTCAGAAGGCAGGGACTGGAGGCAGAGATTAGAGCAGGAAATGAAGCTGGGTCTCACATGGATTCTGCCCCCCATCTGAAATACAGACAGACTACCCAATGTTCTCTGTGGCTCTCTCCAGAATATAATGCTGGGTGGGGCCAACCCAAGGTCCCATCCTGTACCCAATGGGTGATCAGGAGAGACTGAGAAGACCAGAAGGCAAAGGACGCACTCCAGGAGCCCCTTAGCCCCTCACTGTGTGTCGTGACTTAGTCACTAGCATGATCCTCACAGCCCTGCAGAGAGCCTGTCTACAAAGCCCAGGAATCTGGAATATAGAGCCTCAGTCCCTTGGTCTGAACAGAGCAGCAGGGGGCCAGAAAACAAGGTCTTATACTTGTTCCCTGGCCTGAGGTCCCTGCCTGCCCCTTTCCTCTTGGTCTCTCTTCCAACTCTACCTGACACCCCAAAACCATACTGGAAGGCAGGGCACAGCAGAGGCTGCCAGGCCTCAGTGCATGCAGGATGTCCTAGGAGGACACAAACCTCCAGAAGAGCCTGAGAAATCCAGTCTCACAGCTCAGGCCCCTGTTCTGAGGCATGCAGAGTTCCTGGATCCCAGCTATGTCCCATGCTTGGGAAAAACCCTCTCCTTAGGCCTCAGCTTCCCTATGTGCACCATGGTCTCACTGGCCTTGCTTGGGCTTACCTGCCTTGCTCCCTACCAGGTGGCCTTCAAAGGACCTCCTCCAGCCTCAGGAGTCACTTCAGAGACAGGATTTGGATTTTCTATCCAAATCCTTCCTTACTTCATAGCCCCACTTAAGGACACTTTTCTCAGTAAGCCCCCTGCTCCATCCAGCCCTTGAACTTGTGCACAAGTTTTTCTGTCTCCTTGGGCCTCACCTGAAGTGGAGGTTCTTGAATGTGAAGTGGGTTTCTACGATGCCGGTGGTTTTGACCCTGGTTCGGAGGATATCCTGCTCGGTGGGCTGGTAGTCAGTAGCCCCAATCCGATCCAGGCTGTCCAGGTAGCTGGGGATGGCAACACACAAGAGACCATGGACTACATACCTGGGCACTGCTCCAGGCCAACCAGGTCATTCACCTTCAGAGTCCCATATCAACCAGGGACAATTGTAGGTAACCATGGAGGCCAGTCGGTGGGTATGGGGGCAACTGAGGAAGAAGGTCCTTATGGTCCTGGTCTCACAGCCTCAAAGAGCCTCTAATTCAGAACCAAAGGGCCTGTGTGCAGCTCTAAGCACAGTCTGACTTATAAATGGAACTACCATACTTATGATACCATCTTGGCATTTTTATTTTTTGTTTAAAAAAAATAGTAATGGCCAAGAGGTAGGTACTATTCTGTACAGGTGTTCCCATTACATCCTTAATTTCCCTGTGCTAAGTATACTATTTTATAAATTAGAAAAGTGGGGATCAACTGTGGGTGGTGGTTCACTTGGGAGGCTGAGGTAGGAGGACCATGAGCTCACAGCCTGGGCTGCATAGCAAGGCCCTCTCTCTGCCATCTGATCCAGTGGTACTGCTCCTGGGCATCTACCCAAAGGAACGTAAAACAGGATACAAGAGAGACACTCGTGTATAGATGTTTATCACAGCACTGTTCACAATACCAAGCTTTGGAAGCAACCCAGGTGCCCTACAACTGATGAACGGATGAAGAAAATGTGGTATATATACACAATGGAGTATTACTCAGACATAAAGAATAATGACATGTGGTTTGAAGGTAAATGGATGCAATTGGAGGACATAATGTTAAGTAAAGTAAGCCAGGTTCAAGAAACACAAAAGCCACATGTTTTCTCTCACACATGGAAGATAGATCCAAAGATGGATTTATACACAAACATAAGCATAATCATATACTAACTCAGAGGTAGAACATGTTTGTAGTGGTGGAACTACTCTATGGAACTTGGGGAAAGAAGGAAAGGAAAAGATAATGACAGAGCATCAGTAATATCACATAACATAAGATGTGAAGGTAGAGGATATAAGGATGTGTACTGAAAGCTGTTGAAATATGAGGGGTGGGAGGTAAAGGGGTAAGGGAGAGTATTCGAAGGGATTGAACAGACCAAAGTAAAGCACACCCACAGTGGGCATGCATTGAGACACCCCTTTGAACATCAACTTAAATATTAATAATGAAAAACAGGACCATAAAATAGGTACAATGTGTGTGAGTGTGTGGGGGGTACTAGTGGAAAGAGGAAGGGTGAATGAAGGTGATTAAGGAGACAGTATATGGCAGATGAACTTCATATACCATATGAAACAGGGCTAGGAAGCCTCTCGCAATTGCTTTAAGTGAGGTGGGGAGGGGGTTGAGGGGGAGAGATGGTGGAAGCAATGTAAATAATGTACAATATGTCTCTTGGAATTGTCACTATGAACTCCCCCCTGTATAATGAATGTATCCTAATAAAAATTTATTAAAAAAAAAAAGAGCCAAGCACTGGTGGCTTATACCTATAATTCTAGCTACTTGGGAAGATGAGATCAGAGGACTTTGATTTGAGGCCAGCTTGGGCAAATATTTCTTGAGATTCCATCTCCAAAATAACGAGCATGAAATGGACTAAAGGTCTGGTTCAAGAGGTATAGTGCCTGCTTTGTAAACATGAAGTCCTGAGTCCCATCATAAAAGTAAAGAAAGAAAACTGGGGCTCAACACAGGCGAGGACTGTGTGCATAGCTTGGCCTGGACACCTGGCTCCAGGGTCTTCATTCCTAGTGCTCTGTGGTGGCCCCCAAACATCTGCCCTGCAGATGCTTCATACTTTCTTCTCATTTACCAAGGGGTGTTTGAGCCTCTTCTCATTTGATGCTCTTGGAGAGGGTGGTTCAGGGTCCACATGGCCAGGTATTGGTGGGACCTCCCTGGGACCCAGTTCTTTGGGTTTTAAAATTTTTATTATTTATTTATTTATTGTGGTACTGGGGAACAAACCCAGACCTTGCTCTCCATGGAAGTACAGTGGGGGTGGTGGGGGTAAGGGAGTCAAAGGGTACCTGGGAAGACTCAGCTCTCAATCTGGAGAGGCTGCAGCTCCCATGGCCTCTGCTCATGGCTTGGGAGACACTGGTCTTGCCATGCCTATCCTAGCCAGGCAAACCTTCTCTGGACACATAAGCTGGCTGGTTTCCCTTTATGCAGCCCAAGTGTCACATAAGGAGATGGCCATGGGAAGGTGAGGTGGGGAAAGCTATTAAATGTACACCTGCTCCAGGTGTTAGGATGTACAATGACCAAGACCAAGACCTACAGGGCATAGTCTCCCACCTTCCCAGAGCCTGTGCTCTGTGCATATATGTAGTTGTGGTGGTGGTGATGGTGGTGGTGGGGAAGTGTCAGGGCCTGGCTGGGGAGGCCTGCAGGGTAGTTGGGAAGTCCGTCAGAGTGTAATCTATACAGAGTGAGGGAGTGAGCCTCATTGGTCCTGGGGAGAGACCTGGAGTAGAGGCAAACATGGCTTCATGGCCAGGAGTGGTGAAACAAGGAGTACTCTAGTGGTGAAGCTAGAACAAGACTGGGTAGGTAGCAGTCTCAGAGTGGGACACAACCTACAGGCCCTTGAGGTTGAGGTCAGAGTAAGATGGGAGCCCCATGAAGGTTGTGGGGTGATGGCTATGCTGCTGTCAGAAGCAGAAATCACAGAAGGAGGAAAAGGCTGTTGTCATTATCCAGGTGTGGGACAGCACAGCTGAGGAACGGGGCAGGAGTCAGACTTGTTTTGGATGTCTGAAAAGGACCCATTTCTGCTGGAGGTTCAGATTTGGGGTATGTGAGGAAGAGTATGGTACCTCTGCGGGGCAGAGTGGAGGGGTGGGAAGGAAGAAGCCAAGTAGTCTCTAGGGAAGGCAGGAATCAGGGGTTGTGCTGGGCACAGCAAGCACATTTTAATTGAGGTATGTAAAGATGCTCAGACAGACACTGAGCAGGCAGAAGTTGGAAGGAAGGTGCTCTGGTAATATCTACTTCAGAATTGCACAAGGAATCTAAGACAGAGTGGGACTGGAGGACTGAGCTGGTACCAGGCCTTGGCAGGAAGAGATTCAAGGCCAGAGCTCTGGAATCCAGGAGAGACAGGCAGGAAGCGTGTTGGTCCCAGAGGGTGGTGAGGAGGCTATGGCCAGAGCTGAATAAAGGTGCTATAGGAGAAGGCCTAGGGGCTGAGAACTGAGGTGGCAACTGTGGTGGCTTGGGTATGAGCAGGCTTGGTGGGAGGATAAGTAAGAGTCCAACGCCATGAGGTTCAGGAGAGAAAGTGGGGGAGCAGGAACGACTCAGTGGGGAGCTGGATTTGGGAAAACCAAAGCCCACCAAACCATGGAGCCCTTTTTACCAGGTCCTGGTTGGATCTGCACTGGATCTCTGGGTTGCTGGAACCTATCTCAGAGTGCTTATTTAGAGTGGAAAGCCACATTCATAGAGGCCTGGAGCCCACAAAGAGAGTGAGAGTAAGCTCAGGAGACTAGCAACGGACCTCTTCCCTTTCTTCTTTGAGCCCTGGGTCCTCAAAGGGCAGGGCTAGTAGGACATGTTGATGGGACTTTAGGATGTCAGTGTTGTCTCCTGGAAGTTGCAAGTGACAATTCTATCAGGCTGAGTTTAACTCCTAAAACAACATAGACCTAGCTCAAAAAATGCTTAAGGGAGTCAGACATGGTGATGTATGCCTATAATCCCTAGCACTCGGAAGGATCTAGAGTTCAATACCAGCCTGGGTTACATAGTGAGACTGTCTCAAAAAAAGGTCCTTCTGCCCCTGTGTGTCTCCTCTCCTTCTTGCTGTGGATGCACTCCAAGAGAGGAAGTACAGGTGACCTAATGGGGAGAACATCAACACTATAAAACTTGGCAGGCTGGGTGCCAGTGGCTCACACCTGTAATCCTAGTTACTAAGGAGGCAGAGGGAGGATCATAGTTTGAAGTCAGCCTGGGCAAATAGTTCTGCGAGACTCTATCTTGAAAAAATTCAAAACAAGAAAGGGCTAGTGGAGTGGCTCAAGATATAGGCCCTGAGTTCAAGCCCTAGTACCACAAAAAAAAAAAAAAAAAAAAAAAAAAGCTTAGTAGCAGGAAATTTGGAAGGAGACAGAGATGAAAGAAAGAGAGAAGGAGAGGGAGAGAGGGAGAGACAGAAAGGCAGCCAAATTTCCTCAGCTTACTTGGTGGGGAGTTGACAAATACTGACTCAAGTTTCTTTTTTAAAGTTATAATGGTAACTACTGAAGAACTAAATATAATTCTTTTGACTAGCAAAAGCTGGAGGTGGAGGCAGAGAGGGGTGGAAGGAAGGAGAGTTGAGCACTCCAGATTTCATGGTGGGAGTCAGGAAATACTATGTAAAGTTGGATGAGAAAATGGAAATAGGTAATGGGGAGGAGACAAGGTTGAGTGAGAGATTACTGTTCATGTTACACCACCGTCCATTGTTTAAAACTGTTTTTGCAATGAATTAATTTTATAATTAATGAAATGCGTAAAAATTTAATTTGGTGGGCCATCAGAAATCAGAATGGAGCCAGCTAACCCTGAAGGGCTCCTGAGGGTCCTACTGGTAGAGGAAGGAGGCCCTGGACTTGGGTCCAGCAGGGTTAGGGAGGCAGAGAAGGAAGGAAGTTGCCCTGGCTTGAGGCCACCTGGTGGTCCTGGAGTGAACAGGCTGAAAGGCGCTTTGTTCTTTCAGGGTTCTGGGGTAAGCAGTCTGGCTCTGTCTGTGATTTAATATGCACAAAGAGTTCGTATCCCTACCTATCAAGGTGTTCCTGGGGGCTCACTGGAACCTGGGGGTCTGAGTGGCCCCCAGTTAGGACTTACAGAGGATTTAGGCATTTGCTTAAGTGTGGGAAATGGGAAGATGTCTTGGTTTTACTCAGGCCCCTACTTTGTTAGCTGCCAGTGCAGCTGTTGGAAATACCCATATATCATTTGTGAAAGCTGTTCATTGGGCCTGGCCTAATATATCAGCATAGTGGAGATCAGGGTTTCCTCATTTAGGTACTATTGTTGTTTTGGACCAGGTAACTCTGTTGTGGGGGCCATGCTGGGCATTGTAGAATGTTTAGCAGTATCCCTGGCCCCTATCCACTGGATGTCAGGAACACCACCATAGGGTGACAATCAAAAATGCCTCCAGACATTGCTGAATGCTCCCTGGGGGCAAAAACGCCTCCAGTTGAATGGGCAGAGGACAGAGCTCATGTGTCCTTGGACAGTGGGTTAAAGCCTGAGGCTCCTGGCTGCAAACTCCAACTAAAAGCATGGGCACCAGCTTGAAAAAGTAGGGCTCATTTCCTAAACACCTAGGTGCAATCCCATCATGTCCTTGACAGGGGACACACCCACCCCAGGGCTCTGGAGCCTCTGATCTGGGGGTGAAGGGCATGTAACCAGTGAGGACCTCCCTTGAGCGACAAAATTCAGCAGGCAGGCCTGTGACCCTGCTAGTACTTGAAGAAACTGAAGCATTTTCCCTGCCTTTCTATCTGGTACTTCCAACTTCTCATTTCCTCTTGGGTTCTCTGCCCCATCCTCCTTATTTAGCTATAGCACAATGTTAAAGAATACATTTGATCATGTATTTTATTTACTGAATTTATTTATTAAATGGGGCGACTTATTCCCTATTTTTAATTCAAAGCCAGAGGAACGGTGCCTTCTGAGGCGTTAAAAGACAAAAGCCTGGGCACTAGTCAGGCTAATAAGCAAGCACTGAGCTACATCCCCAGTCTTGAGGGTTTATTATTTTCTCTAAACAAAACAAGTGGATACCATTTGAGTTACTGTCTGCCTGAATGGCTCTGGATTTGTATTTAAGGGGCCAGAAGACTCCAGAAAGATAAAAACCCTTGCTACCTGAAACTTCCCCATTTGAGTACAGTCCAAGACAGGCAGGTGACCAGATCGTGGTCCTTGGGGAATTTCATGTGTGGTTGTCTCTTGTGCCCTATCCCTTCCCTGGCTTCTTCCTCATCTTGTGTGCAGGACGAGAAGTCCCTCCTCATCCGTTCCTGATGTCCACCACCTGTGGTAGAGTATCTCATGCCAGGTCCAGAATCATTCTGTCCCACCTCATGTCTTGCTTCATCCCCTTGGGACACTCACTATTTGGCAGAGTCATTGAGCTGATACTCCCGAGACCGGTTGAAGCACTCTTGGATCCCTGAGTCACCCCAGAGTCGCATCATGGCAGAAAGTAGCTCTGTAGAGAAGGGCTCGGTATCTTCCATGCGACTCACCACATCACACACCATCTTGGAGTCAGCCTAGAAGAGAGAGGGATGCAGGGTGAGGCCTTGGTAGGGCTCAATATATGGCCCCTACGAGGGTAACAGGCTGCACCAGGACAATGTAACCTCAGCCTTTTCAGAAGCAGGTGCCCTGTGAGGGCACCTCTGTGGCCTTTCTATTCCATGCACATTCTACAGCAGCAAACCACAGTGCACACAGAAGAAAGGGAGAGTGGGCAGGGCTCTGCTCTCCATCCTTCCACTCAACTAGAGCAGCTCTGCTTCCATCTGTTTTGAAAATGGGTTTTGTACAGTATTTGGGGAAAACAAAATTAAAAAATCAGTGCTCTTTGCTAGACTTGTAATTTCCTACAGCTTTTACCCAAGGCAAAGCAAAGGCCCTGGAACTAGTTTATATCTGAGTGAGGGCTTCTTCTGGTTGAGTTTTATTTATTTATTTTTTTGTAAACTCAGGGACTTGTTTGCTAGGCAGAAGCTCTACCACTGGAGTCATGTCACCAGCCCTTATTTGAGAATTCTAGTTGGCTGAGGGACTGGGCCCCAGTAGAGCTGTACCTTAGGGATGAGGGGTGGGGTGGAGGGAAGGTAGGTGTTAAGTTGGGACAGATGGTTAAAATTCCTCATGTCAATACTGAGTCTTAAGAAATTGGGCCCTTAAGTTAAAACTTTTTTTTTTTTTGTGACAGTATCTTGCTATGTAGCCCAGGCTGGCCTCAAACTTGAGCTCCAACTGCCTTAGCCTTTTGAATGCTAGGATTATAGACAAGTACCACTGTACCTGGATTAAAACTTAATTTTATGAATCTGCAACCTGTGGTTAGCCAGGCCTGGTTAAACAAGGGAAGGATAAAGGGACAGATAATGACATGAGAGCTCTCTCCTTTCTGTCTCCTTTCCTCTCTGAGTGCTGTCAGTAGAGTTGAATTTGCTTAAGGCACACATGTATAAGCTGAGAGACTAACAGAATTTCAAGAAAAGTACTGCATAGCTCACAGGTCTGCCTCTCCTCCCATCCCATTATCTAGGACACCAAATAGGGGTCACCCATTTCTAAAGACTGCAATCAAGTACACCAAACATCAAAACTGGGAGTGCAGTGCTCTTGAGTCTCAGAAGACTCAGGGAACTCACATTTGCCACCACCTTGTGCATACAGATAGTACTTCACAGGTTACTAAGGATTTTTGTGTGCACACACACTGCTTCCTTAGACCCTCACACACCTCTTGAGAGAGCCAATGAGGACTGCGTGAATGTGATGCTCCTTTGCCTTCTGCATCCAGGAAGGTAGAATTCTGCCCAGAATTCATGTTTCCTAGACTTTGTGGCTACAGGACTTGCTTTGGCCCACAGAATGATGGGGGAGTAGGGGAAGCAGTGTGCAAATTCCTAAAGAGGACTTGCATGCTTTTATTGGTCCCCTGGGTCTCTACCATCACCACAAATGTGCCTGGGCTCTCATTCCTGCCAGAAAAAGGATTTGGAACACACGGTATAGAGCTGAGCCCACCCTGAATCTCTGATCCACAGCTGAATGAAGTGACAGAATTTAGGAGGCTTGCTCGTGATTACTGTTGCAATCACTAGTAACACAGTAGGTACTGGTATTAGGGCCTTGTATGTGCAAGTGTTAGAAACTAATCTAACCAGGTCACAGACAGGGCAGGCAACCCAGTCTTGGAACCTGAACACCTTGTCACTTTCCTGATTCTTTCTGGTAGCTATGTTCTTAGTGGCCTTTCCATGGGTTGGGGGACACAGTTCTTTTTTTGTTGTTGTTTATTCATTTATTCATATGTGCATACATTATTTGGGCCATCTCTGCCCACTGCCTGGGGGACACAGTTCTTGGTGACACCAATGACTCTGGGGAACACCCTCTTAAGCTTGTCCCATTTGAAAAATCCCACCCCAGACAAGACACTTGGCATTAGAGGGCAGATGGAAGGGGCAGTGCAAGACCAGAGTGGGCCCTAGCATTTCCATCTGCCTAGCACCTCCTGAGCCCTCCTCCAGCTGCCTTTCCCCATTTCAGCCTGCACACAACTGCAGGGCTGGGAGTGGAGTGCAGTGGGTCCTCCTGGCCTCATGGGTCCTTCTGGGTGCAATTACGACTTCCAGATGATTACTCTGCTGTGAGCCCTTTCAACCCCAACCCCAATGAAGCCAAAGGAGAGACAGATTGTCCTGCCTGGGCACAGAGCTCAGGAAGTAAGCACCTCAGGGAGGCGCTGAAAGTCTGCAGGTGTCCTTCAGGGTGGGAAAGATAAAGGAAATGAGGTCAGCCCTTGGAAGGTCTGTGGCCATGAAAGATTTTATATAAAAGGTGTGTGGAGCTGAAGCCTTCTTGGAAACTTTTCCAGAATGGAGCTGTCTGCCTAAGTAGTTATTTACCTGTTAGCCTATTCTCTGCAGAAGGTTGGTGGAAAAGTTGTCAGCTGTGCCCCTCCTCCTAGGGAAGGAAGTGACCCTTGGCATGTAGGCTGGAAGGCCAAGCCTGCCATGTTAATCCAGATCCAGCTCCTTGCAGATGGTGCCCTAAATATCCTGCCCTTGGGTTCCCAACCCACACTCACCTGACAAGAGACAGTTGCCCACCAAGGAAGTCTGGTTTCCTGGGGTCTGGGTGAGCTGGGCACTAACCCTGGCAGCAGAGACCTGGAAAGCCAGCTATGGGGCCTGAGCTTCAAGTGTCCTAGGCAGGCTAAGCAATGACTCAGGGAGAAGCGGGTGAGGGAGCAGGGTTGGTGCCTCCACATGTGGCTAATCACAGAGTGAGGCTGTGAGTCAGGGATCTGCCTGTTCCCACTCCCCAGTGCCTGGCTGCCCTCAAGCAGGGTTGATGTCTTTCCAGTTGTGGACCTGGCAGGGTTTCCTGAACCTCCTCCTTTGGGCACCACCTTTGTGGCTTCTGCCAGGTACAATGAAGTGACCAAGTCAGAATAGGTCAAAACTCAGGGGTGATCAGGGCAGGCCAGGCAACACCTGCCACAGGATTAGATGATTGTGCTCCAATCTAAGTGCTGAGAGCCATGCCACACCTCACATCAGGGATGCATGGGAGGGCTGGTAGAATAGCTTAAGTGGTAATATCACCTGCCTAGCAAGTGTAAGGCCCTGAGTTCAAACCCCAGTGCTGCAAAAAAAAAGAAAAAAAAAAGATCAAATTAAGAATGTACAGGACCCTCCAGAGGCGGTGCATGTGCACATATGGGCTCTTCAAAGCCAGGTCATACTTCAGCATTGGCCTCCAGGCTCTTGCTCCACAGGCTGTGTCCACAGCTTGGGAGCTGTACTAGGTGGTCTGCTGGGACTCTTCTGCAGATGGCCTAGGGGTCTGGAGTTTTATCTCCTTCCTGAAGTGTGTTGGATGGGAGGAGACCTGTGGGCACCAGCCCTCCTGGTCACTTCCATCTTCCCTATTCAGCATACTGTGGACCACTGGCTCCACTATTCAAAGACTAGGAGCTCTGCTCAATTCTGCTGCTTTCTCCCCACCACCCTATTGCCTGTCTGCATTCTTTCCAAGTTGCGTACCACCCCACAGGAGACCATTAGTTTTCTTCTAACATCAAGTCTCCTTTAGAAAAAGAACTGAAACATTTTTAGCTGGGCACAATGACATCGACTAAAATTCCCTAATTTTGTTTGCAGTTAGGTGTGACGACATTGTAAGTTATTCCCTGAAGGGTGTAAGTTATAACCTGAAGTGTAGTGAGGTCTTTGCAAATGTCATTTTAAAGAGAGCAGGGACCATTTTCTCTCAGTTCCTCCTTCCTAATGCCCAGAACTTAGTGGCTGGAGCTGTAGCGGCCAACTTGGCTCATGGAGACAAATAAGATCCTCACCCTTGGGATAGTGGAACAGTGACCTGAAAAACAGTCCAGGTCCTTGTCAGCATGATTTTGAATGTTTGAGTTTTTTTTTTAAACACAGTTTTGTCTGATTTAAGCCACTATTTTCACAGTTTCTGATATTCACAGTCAAACCTAACCTATGTGAATGGATACAATTACAATTTACTCTCCCTGCTTAAGCTCTTTGAATAGCTTCCCATCATTTTTGAATACTGAACTCTTTATTGTGGCCCCTATAGCCTACCTTTCTGTTCTCAGAACCCTCCACTTTTCACACTCACAGGGCTCCTGTCACAAACAAGCCCCCAAACAAGCTGGAGCCTCAGGGACTCCATCTGTGCAGAACACCTAGCCGACCCATACCTGTCTTGAAGATCCCTGTCCTATGTCATGGCTTGTATTATGGCTGGTATTGTGTGACTGTGTATCTAAGGACTAGGGTGGTCTGATTTTTCAGTGCCTTGGGGCTTGCACAGTGCTCTATATACAGATGGTGCTATATCAGGCATGACCCCAATGTGCAGCATGCTCACAGCTCTGGACTTACATCTCAGACAGGGTCTGATCACCTGAAGCCAGAGCTGAGGCCACTAATGCCTAGCCCAGACCCTAGAACACAGGAGAGGGAGGCAGGTAAAGAGGAAGGGCCAGGCTCAAAGGGAAGAAGGGGCTTTGCCAATATGTGTAGAGCCCTATGGAGGGTGCCAAGGGTAGCAAGCAATGAATACAGCCAGAGGCAGCCTCTGTCCTTTAGCCTGCCTTCCTTCCTTCAGAGACCTGTCACTCACACTGAGTCTGACTTTCCCATCCAGAGCTCCTCATGGACCCAAGGTGCTGGGCATGACCAAGGACCTTTCTCTCTGTTATAGCCCCTTGGCATTGTCACTTCTTGCTAGTCAGAGCCTGGCTGTCCAGGCAATCTGAGGTATGATGCTAAACACAGGTCTCTCTTCTGGGTAAGCTCACAAGTGCTGTGGTCTGAATGTCTCTCCCCAAATTCCTATGTTGAAATCATAACCCCTAGGGTAATGGTATTAAGAGGAGGGGCCTTTGGGAGGGGCTAGATCATGAGGGTAGCTCTCGTGAATGGAATTAGTGGCATTATTAGAGGCCCCAGAGGGACTGTCACGCCTTCCACGATGAGGACAGAGCCAGAAGGTAGTTACCTGTGAAGCACAAGCATGCCATCACCAGATAATGGGCAATTTGCTTGCAGTGTGATCTTGGACTTCCTACCTCCAGAACTGTGAGGAATATATTTCTGCCACGTAAGCCACCTAGTATGTGGGAGTTTGTTACAGCAGCCCGAGCAGAGGGAGATACTAGGTCAGACCTTTGGGAAGTTTACTTGTGGACACTGCTGAAGCTGCCATCTCTAGAAAGCCTACTGCAGGCTCCCAACCAGGCAGGGGTACAGGGGGCATGGCAGGGGCCAGCTTTGAGGTAGCAGCCAGGCCCATCCCCCTACACCCCCTTTCTGCTAGGTGCTGCCTTCTCTGTTTCTGTGGCTTCCACCCTTGGTCTGCTTGCAGCACAGCCCCAGCTTTCTTGAAGGAAAAAAGAAGGCATTCTTCCCTGAGGTAGCCAGAGTAGTCTAGGTGGGGATGCTCTGTCTCCTGACTCTGGGGGCAGGAGGGACGCACACTTTAGGTCTGGCCAATCTATCCTGCTGGTCTGTAAACAGTTTGGGATGAACAAAAAAAATCTCTGTCAATTAGATTAACAACCAGTCTCACTACCCCAACTAGCCACAGGACATTTGCAAGAACTATTAGCAAAGAGAGATTCTCAAACGGGAGGGCTCACGAGAGAGTGCAACCATCACTGAGACAATCTGGGCTGGGAGAGGGAGACACCAGTCAATGCCTGAACTGCAACACAGCAATGCCTGAACTGCCTACGACCATGTGCCCCTCTGCGCTTTTTCCTTTACTTGAGTCAGCCTATCCTCTGATTTAAAAAAATCTAGCTGAGGGTATGTTGTTTGCTTGGTTCGTTTTTGTACCTGTACCCCAATAGTCCTGACGATTCTACCTCTAGGTCTGCCAAGGCTCACATCAGGCCCCCCTCTTCCTTTAAGACTCCCTCCCATGACTGCAGCCCACATGGCTCTTCTGGCATCTGAGTCCCTCCTCCCCTCCTGTCTCTTGGTCCTGGGTCCTATGCCTTAGGTGCTGTACTGTTCCTGTGTGAGAAGCCCCTCTCCCTGTAGGATTGGCATGGCACTGATGTGTCTGGCTACTGGCCATGTATTGGATGCTAGAGACAGTCTGGTGGACTCAGCAGACAAACCTGAAAGGGGCTCATGGATATGTGTATCTGCCCAGTGACCCCTCTGTCCCCACTGTCCCTACTGTCCTGAGGCCCAGTTGCAGAGGGCTCTCTTCTGTTTACTTTCTCCATGTGTAGGCCTGGATGGGTAATCCTGACTGTTACTGAGAGTCCAGATGCCACCTTCCCCACCATTCTCCACCTGCTAGGAGTGCCTATTTTCTAATATGCAGATCTCAGGCCACTCTACATCTCTCCAAGGAGCCTCCTATAATGGCTTCCTTCTATCGCTCCCTGCTTGGGCTTCCCTGCAGCATTCTGGTCACTGTAAACCAGATTCAGGAGCCACCCAGACCTTGCCCCCAACCTGGGCTTCCTTCGTGAACAGAGGCCTTAACCTTTCCCAGGCTGTGTCCTAGCTGTGAACCAGGGATGACAGCATCCTTGTTTTCTCCACAGGGGTGTCATGTGAGCAAACAGGACACTTAGCAAAGGATGGCACCTGGGCAGGTACCCATCTAGTGGAAGAGCCTGCCCTGCCCCACCTCTTGAGTTGTTGGGCCACACAGAAGTAAAGGCCAACCTGCCCACCTCATGAGGACAGAGCATGGGGAGGAGGGGACTGTGCACGTTTTAAACAGCAGTAAAGTTTTTGTGTGTTTAGGATCAACAGGCTGGGAAGACGTTGTGACTTCTCAAGGTCACCCATGGGATTCCTTTTTTTTTTTTTTTCTCCTTTTACCACATTTATGACTGAAAACAGCACTGACATTCTTCTTCTTTTTTTTTTTTTTTGCAGTACTGGGGTTTGAACTTAGGGCCTATACCTTGAGCCACTCTGCCAGCCCTTTTTGTGATGGTTTTTTTCAAGATAGGATCTCACAAACTATTTGTCCAGGCTGGCTTTGAACCACGATCCTCCTGATCTTTGCCTCCTGAGTAGCTAGGATTATAGGTGTGAGCCACCAGTGCCCAATGACATTCCTTTTCATTATAATCAGTGTAATTTTTCTGGTTAAATGATTTCTGGCTCACAATGTAGACCTACAAACAGCCTGATGCTGCTCAGGATAGA